TACTAAGGCTTTTTGACTTAAGGGGCGAGCTGAGATCCGTTATGGCCACGCCCATGTACGCATTTGTTAGAACGATACACATCAAAAGCCAGGAGATCAGGACGATTCGAAACGGTTCAGATTTCCAGAGGGTACTCGGTGCGGAATAGGCTTCCTCTAAAAGTACTCCAATTACGTTAAAAAATGCCGAGAAGGACGTCCTTAGCGAGTCGTGGACCTTTAAAAACCCCGCAATTATCAGGATGCTTAACAAGATTGAAACCCAAACTTGCCATTGAAATGGTTTAACGTAAAACTCGAAGGAAAGCTCAGTTTCCGAGTAGCACGTCAAAAACCGGAAGGAAGCCGCTTCCACGGGAAGAATGTGGTTATTCAGGTCGTAATTTAGTTGAGGCGTGTCCAGCGGCATTTCCACTATGCGGGGATCATCATACCCCGGGAAGAAGGAAATGTTCAGAATTTCTAAGAGGTGTTGATGATGTGGTAAGGATGCATGGTACTTGAAGGGTACTTGGCTTGGTATAAATTGTTTCCTTAGGGTCTCAATGTCCTGGGGTAGCTTGGGACTGGTTGGTGTTAGGAGCCCTATAGCGGAACCTATTAAGGGGAGGGGTTGCCAAGCTAGATATGCTGAGGTTGAGGTGGTCCCTTGAATTATGAGGAGGACCCTGATCCTGAAAAAAGTGTAGTATTCCATATCCTCAAATATGCTTCGACTTAATAGTTCTTCTTGTGCCGAAGGGTTCAATTTGTTGAATTGGACTGATTGGAGGAGGACTGTGATACAAATTTTGCCATAGTTTCGACCAATGACGTTATCATAGCCCAAGTGGGTGATAGCCCTGTCCTTGAATAGGGTATGGGAGTCGCATCTCATTAAATAGATGAAGTTATAGATTTGGTAGAAATGGAAGTTGTTATTTATCTTGAGATAAGTCAGGTCTGTTATGGAGGCGATGATGGAGAAGCACGGAATTTGGCGGGTGCGTTCGACCGAGAAGCGAAAGTTGGATGAGCGGAATAGAGATGCGCGGGCCGCGTTCCAGATGGAAATTGGGGCTTGAAAGGTGGGGAAGACGGGCAAGTTTTGGTAGAAGCGGATCGGGTGGCAGTAAGGGAGGGAGGTCAGGGTTTCGAGGGAAGAGGTGAAATCGGCAGGGTGGGTGATGTAGAGGGGGAAAAGGGTAAATGAAAGGATGACGGGGGGAATAAGGGTACTTAATAGACGTGGGGTAAATTTGCATGTGCCAAATTGTAAATGCATTATTAAAAATCTCGTCTAGTTACATATGTATTTATTTATGTATGTACTTCATACTGGTAATGATTTTAAAATAAATCCCAGTTTCAATTCTTATTTAATTCCAGTTTTCGTAAGAGTATATGTAGAATAAATTACAGGTGTGTGTAACTTTCAGTTTATTTGGCAGAAACGGAAATCGAAGTATGCAAATGTGCCTAATTAATGTGACTGATTTAGAATTCAAATAGTCTAAAATGAACTTTCTTAATTCAGATTCTTTACCGGGATGGTTCCGAAATCTTTTGGAAGGTTTTAAAATAGTTAGGGAAACCTTTGTATGCAGACTTTCGGACATATGTATGTAGCTTATTAAGTTTGCTTATTAAGTTTGCGTGCATATGTAAACATGTTTTTTACACATGAATACATACATACGTATCTATATAAGCGATTGCTCCAGTCCTTCTACATGAATATGTAAATAAGTGCAAGAATTTTTCACAGATATCTTATTTTAATATTAAGTACTCATTAGTACATACATATGTTCTATAATTTATTATGCTCATTGTCAGACATCAGTACTTAAGTATGCATACATATATTTTGATACATATGTACATACGTACATACAAATGGGAACAAATATTTCTAATTTCTAATTTCAGATCTTACCTATTTTTATTGATTAGTGGAAATAATTGGATTTTTCCAATTTTCATAAGTTTAATGCATTTAAGAAGGATCGAAACACTTAAATATGTACATATGTACACATTGGTGGACCTCGTTTGGCATTTGTATTGTTTAAGCGCTAGTTATGTAACGATTAGGGTCAGCTTTATTTTAAACTCGTCTTTTTATATAAATTGTTCATGCTACGGTTGTCCAGATATTTAAAGTCATAAATATGTATAGCGATGAGATCTGAGATGAAATCAAGAGGAATACCTCATTTACAAGCCTCACATGCATATATATATATATATAATTAGATTATATAATGAGCCCGAATTTACACATAACATTGTGCACATGTCTGCATGAAATCATCGGCGGCATCGTGTGTGTACGTAAATAATGGGTAATCGGTCATAAACGATAACCTGAACCAGATCCGTATACGCATTGTCCATATTACTCAGGTATTACATAGTAATATGTACATATGTACGCACAGAATGTTGAAATCATTTTGGTCAAAGGTGGAGAGATTAGTGTCCAAGTTATTTACAAAGTTGCAATAAAAATTTTATTGTTTGACACACCGACATGGTGACGTGCATGGTGAGGTAAAATATGTACAATTACATACTTTTTGTTTACAATTCTGACTTGCCTTATTTAAATGATAGTTTAATCTGATCTGGACATAATTACTTTACGACTTTGCTTCACATTCATCGTGTATATAACAATATGGAATAGGAACTATATTTTGAGGCCATCTAAAAAGGATTTTTTTCCCATTTAAATGGATAAAATTCCTGAAGCTACTTTTGGCCTTTAACAAATATTTTCGGACCCATCTAAATTTCTATATGGCCACTTAATAAGATATTCAAATTTATAGTAGAAACACCTTTATAAAAGCATGATAACCAAACAAGAAAGTACATTTTTTAAATTTTTGAGCACGTCTGCCCCAGCGAGGCACATACATTCTGTTCAGATTCCTAATATGTAGGAATATGTATGCATTTTTGAGTTGGAATGTGTAGATTGCATTTTTGTCAGTCTGCATTTAAAGATGCAGATTGAGCGCAATTTGCATAGGCATTTTAGTAGAAACATGCAAATCAATGTATATGCGGAAGTGATGGCAGGTATGTTACACTGCATCGCTTTCACATCTTGCAAACTCATCTTATGTAGATTGAGTTGTCCAGTTTTGTCCAGTTTTGCAGTTTGCTAAACAGGTAAAATGGTAGTAAGCTATGTATGCATGTATTGTTCCAATGTTGAACAAACAACGGTATTTATGTAACTTACGTAACTTGCATAACTTGCAAATAGATTTATTTTTAGTGGAAAATGGAATGTATTAGTTAGCATACACGGGTGCTTTTCCGTCCGCTCTGCAGTATCAAGATAGCCACGGACCAGAGCCCGCGTAACGCCCATTTAATCATTTACACAACATAGAGCCTTATGCTAGAATTTGGTGCACAGTAATTCAAGTTTCGCTACACTCTAACATACACACACTCATAATTAACTAACGTGAATTTACAACTCACGCACCTCTTAGGAATTTACTTACGATTAAAAACACATTCAGTTCGTGCACTCAATGGAACCTAGTTCAAGCTACTCCAATATCAAGAAATCCAATCAAAAATTATGAATCACATGGCACTTATCTATTTTCCCGTTTGAATGCCACTTTGAAGGAAAATATAGGCGGTAAAGTTCAATTTTTTAGCTAATTTTATTTCGCCTTTTCCTCCTTTAGCGACGTGCAAGGTGGACGAGTGAACCTTACACGCCCCCCAAATATTTTTCTTCAAAGAAAGTGGTCGTCGCAAAGTTCGTACGCCTACTTCGCCGCTTATATTTTTTCTGCTTCCAAAGGATAAGTATCATGTAATTGCTAATTATTGGCTGGCAGGATTTTAATATATTGATCGGTAGACAATCCTGGTGTAGCCTGAAAAAGGTTTTATTGTCAGTTGCTCATACATGCATGCATTCATACCTGTTTATATTTTTCTAAGATGTTTAATAATTGTTATTGCCACAGTGGGCAAAACGTTGCTCTATGATAGTGACAATGGAACCTCTACACCGGGATTTTCCAACTAGTTATATTAAAAATCGAGCCAAAAATTAGGAATCACATAACGCCGTTTTGAAGCAAAATACTGTGGACCAAGTTCAAATTTTTAGTAAATTTTCTCTTCTTTACACTCCTAGAAATCCACAATTAAAATAATACCGGGTGGTATTCATATATGACTCTAGTAGAGTCACTCTACCAAGGTGGTGTTGATTTGATAAGTACATAATACCGTGTAGTAATAACTCGTTATTAACGTTTTACCATTTCGGTATTAAATTTTTACGGATTATAATAATTTTAATACCAACGGGTAGCAACTTTAATACCAAGAAATCAATATCTGCGTCACGCAGGCTGCGTGACATCACCAGATTTCTAACAGTGTATCGTCCACGGGTTTCGTCATCGTAGCGTCATGTGGTTCCTAATTTTTGGCTCGATTTTTTGTTGTAACTCGTTGCAAAGAATGTTCCAACAGGCACGGGCTTGGCCCTGGCCGGCCTAGAAAAGCTACAAAGGCTTTGTTAATCATGTAACGATGCAAAATTATCGAAGTAAATTTGGATACAAAAATTATACATTAATTATATGGCGAACCATTTAAATGGCCAACATGGGTTATTTAAATGGAAATCTAAGCATAGTTGATGGCAAAAGTATCCAATGGTAAATTTAATCCATTTAAATGGGAAATGAAGCCTTTTCTGGTGGCCCCTAAATCCGATGCCTATGGAATACGCAATTTTACCCAATGTATGTATTCAAGTATTTCACTTAAAAGATGAAAGGAATTAAGGCGTTCATTTGTATATTGTTAAGATCATAAAATAATTATGTTGTCCAATCTTATCGGAATGTTATACGACAGGGTTTACGTAATTTTAAGATCACGCCGAATACATATTTACATACATATGTATACTTTTGAATGCTTTCAGTGGATAAATTGTGTGGTCAGACTTACTTATGTTCCACTCATACATTCTTTAACAGTACAAATTTTACTAATGTACTAAGACAGAAATAATTATGCAAATCTGCACGGAAAGGCAGGTTAGTAATTATTTACATATGTATTTACATAGAATGTTTTAATACAAACAAATCTGTAATAGGTAAAATGTAATTTAAAAAAGTAGAAGTTGTATATTTAATTCGGGAATTTCATGCTTCCTGTTTGCTGGAATATTGCATCAATTTGTGGAGACAAGGCTTTAATAATGTCGCTCACAACCGCAACAACGAACGATTGGTGAGTGTTGACCAGGTTAAGCATTATGACTATTTGTACACTCTTAAAAATAATTTACCATTTCGAAAAGTAAATTTACTTTCTAAATTCTCAATTATTTAAACCTTGCTAAATAACTTGGTAAAGAGAAAAGTTTACTCTAGGTTTGGCTTAAGTTTCCAAAAGGAAGATATTAGATACATGGGGCAGCCATGGACGCAAGACTTATAACTTAAAATTATGACGTATGACGTATTTTATAAGTTATAAGTCATAGAAACGCCATAAGGCGACGTATACTTATAATTATAAGTCAAGTTATACGTCATAGGTTTAAGTTATAAGTTTTGCGTCCATGGCTGCCCCATATATCTAATATTTTAAAAACTATTTAAGTATGTACCATAAAACGAAATTCATTCCAAAATTCTAGGTGGCTTCAACTCAGATCATTTCTCTGCTTGAGACGAATTCCCCCAGAAGAAGATAACACAAAAGGAGAAGATTCTGATCCAGAAGTGGACCAATCTTACGAGACAAATAAACACGTCACAAAGGATAACTTAAAACATGCCAAAAAACCAAATTTGGGCGAAATTTTCGTCCACAGGACGAGAAAAGTTTCTAGAAAGGAAAACATATCCACGGCACTAAATTCATTGCAAGCCTCGCTCCACAACCTTCCCGTGAAAGATGAGAAAACCCCGAAGAAGGTTGACTTCACTTTGCCCCAAGATCCTGTTAATGGCGGGACGACAACCTCTTCCTTCTGGTTGACCAGTGCTAAGAAGGACTTCGAATTAAAATATTCCTCTTCACCTTCAAATTCATCCCGGGCAAAATTAAGCGATTTCAACCCCCTCCAAACCATCGGAACAGGATCCTTCAGTCACGTTCGACTCGTCCAATATCGCCCCACTGGAAAATTCCACGCTATGAAAATCCTCTCCAAGAAACTTCTCATCTCTACGAAACAAGTGGACAACACCCTCTGCGAGAAAAAGGTCCTTCAAAGTGCCTCATTTCCCTTCATCGTCACGCTAAAATATGCCTTCAAGGATAACTCGAACATCTACCTCGTCCTCGATTTCGTCCCGGGCGGCGAGCTGTTGACCCATGTAAAAAAGTCGCGCCAAGGTTTCTTTCCGGAACCCCAGGCGGCCTTTTATGCCTCTCAAGTCGTCCTCGTTTTTGAATATTTGCACCATCTCGGCTTCATTTATAGGGATTTGAAACCAGAAAACGTACTCCTGGATGGGCGCGGATATGTCAAGGTGACGGATTTCAGCTTCGTGAAGCGCGTTCCGGGCAGAACGTACACGTTGTGCGGGACGCCAGACTATTTAGCGCCGGAAATGGTGTTATCGAAGGGGTACAATGCCGCCGTGGATTGGTGGGCGGTGGGGGTCCTTATATTTGAAATGTGCGCGGGATATCCCCCCTTCTTTGGGAATAGTCAGATGGCCATTTATGAAAAGATTGTGGATGGGAGGGTGCGGTTTCCGCGGCATTTTTCAAACAAAGTGAAGAGTATTGTGGGAGGGTTGTGTGAAGCGGATGTTACGAAAAGGTTGGGAAATATGAAGTCGGGCGTGGCCCAGATTAAGGAGCATGGCTGGTTTGAAGGGATGGACTGGGTGGGAATATTTGAGAAGAGGGTGAGACCCCCGTTAATTCCGGAGTATCGGGGGAGAAGTGATACATCGAATTTTGAGGGGTATGACGAGATTGAGTTGAAGATTGAGAAGGTTAATCAGTATGAGAAAGAGTTTGCGAATTTTTGAAAATTGGTTTTGACAAGATATTCATAAAATATTTGAAAATATAGATTGTGAATGGGTTGCCAAAGCAAGAAATAAATATACAGTTGTCTAAACTAACAATTCACATGTTAGACATGTTTCTCTCGGATCTTCTTGATACCAGCACTAAATATGAGTTTTTGCCAACTTAAAAACTTCGCCATTTCGCGAATTCTGCAGAAGTGCTCAAGTGTCACACCAACTGTTCTTTGTGTTTAGTTCCTTGATATTTTAGTGATATGAAGAAGATCTGTCAGAAAAATGCCTGACATGTGCATCGTGAGCCAGCTGTAACCTTTTTGGCTTATCATAGATATTAGAATGAGTAGTTCAAATTTCTGAAATTGGTGATTTATTTTCAATTATATATGTATGTAGGTCGAATTCAGTATGTGCATATGTATACATTTTGATCCTTTGAACTACTCTGAATAAATTTCAATTGAAGTACACCAAAATCATTACAAATTACAAAAAGAGCCATTTTCTCATCTGTACTTTACATATGGGACGCCCTTTAATAGGTGAACAATTTATACTCATACTAACTTTCATTAGTCTTTGCCCGGTGACCACAAGTCCAGTAAAATTAGTGTTTCCCGACTCCCGCTGTATTTATTCCGAAAGCGGGCATCATAGCAATCTAGACACAATATGTTACTGATAAATGAATTCGCATGAAAATACTGATAGTTTGATAATTAGTTAAAATCTGCATACCGTATATCATTAGCTTTGCATGTAAAAAAATCTCGAACGTAAGAAATCAATTGTTAATTTTGGTAAAACTTTAAACAAATATTTAGCCCTCTACTCGTTTGATTTTCATTATTAGCTCACCCTGCATAGCACGGGAGTTATTGAATTCCTCTTGTCTGTCCGTCCGTCCGTCCGTCAGTCCGTCCGTTGACGAGTTTTTTGCATCAATTTATGCTGATTAAAAATCCCCTTGTCCATTATAGACTTGTTTGGTCCCACCATTGGTATAGAACAATCCGAGCGCAAATGGTGCAAGTTAATTCAGCAAATAGATCGAGATAGGACTATAATTTTCGAATAAGTAGCACCGTTAGTACCGAGCAATTGGTTATTAAAAATGATGCGTAACAATTGGGATATCTATTTCCCCCCAAAAATCAATGATGCGTAACAAGTGGGCCATCTATTTCCCCCAAAAAATCATGTCAGAATTCTGTTCTACTTGTTCGATTATACTGCACCATTAATGCAGAATTATTTGAAAATTCTATTCTAATCTATTTGCTCCATTATTCTGCACCATTGACGCTAAAATATATAAATTTTATACTTGCGGTTATTCAGCACATTTGTTCTAAAGTTAAATTAAAGTAATTCCGACATTTTATATATTTTCCCGTTTGTATTGCACCATAGGTGCAAGAATGTATAAGAGTCATGATCTATTTTGTCGGCTTATTTTGCACCTTCAGTGCTAACTTCTGTCTAAATAATTATGACAGGGTGAGCTACTTCTAACGTTACTACGGTTTATTGTTACATAATTTTTATTGATTAAATTTTCGCGATATTTCATATTTTATGTAGCTAATGGGGGGTTTCTAAAATCACTGAAACACATCTCTCACGGTGGACCCTCCCCATTTGAGGACGCGTCATACGGCGACACCACCTCATTTCAGAGGATTAAGGCCCTCGTAACGAAAAATTATATGGTCATGACGAGAAATTTGATGCTCCTCGTGTTCATGATGTTCACTCCGGCGTTACAAGTCTTCGTTATGTGTCTTGCGATAGGAAACGATCCTAAGTAAGGAGAAAACCGCCGCCATAATTTAAAACCTAACCGTGCACAAAAATATTTACTAAATTGCTCCCCCCCACAGGCCAATGTGGATGGGTGTGGTGAACCATGAAATGAATTATACTCCATGCTCTACCACGTGGTTGAGGGACCGTGGTTCCATTGGAGGCTGTGACGTAAAGAAGCTAAGTTGCAAATTCTTAATGGAAGTACCAAAAGATACAATTTATTTGGTGAGTGCAAAATCAATATTTGTGTATGTATAATGCCCAAACTTGGCTTCCGGCCCGGAAATTTTTTCATGCCCGGCCCCATTTAAAATTGGCATTTATAAGTCTAAAATTATATGCTCAGTCAAAACAATTTAGATGATAGCAACGACGTTTAAAGTCTGAATTTACGAAAGAGTCTATTTTATTAAAGGTTTTATTAAAATTTGTATTAAAGTAAATGCACTCTGTACTCTATAGCAAGGAAACTGTTTTAAATCCAGAGTAACGTTAACTTGGTAAAGAGTAAAGGTCCCTCTGGATTCATTACATGTTTATTTACTACCCGAAACGGTAAAATTATTTTTAAGAGTGAAGATCACTAAACAAATCTATCCGTTAAAATTTAGAGGGACTATGAAACCAACGAATTAGCCAGTGATGCCGTTAGATCAGGAGAAATTTGGGGATTTTTATCGTTTCCTGAAAACTTCTCGGAAAACGTGTACGAACGGGCGGTGGGGGCCAACACGATAGAAAATGAGACTCTATAAGGATCCTATGTCAATGTCGTGATGGACTATTCAAGTAACTTTAGATTTCTAAGTATTTAACTAACTGAAATGAAATACTCAATATTTATTAAATATTTTATTTCGTTCCCAAATAAACAGATTTCATTCTACATCAAGAAAGAACTTTACGACGCGTTTGAAAGATTTCTTAAAGGGATGTTAATTAATTGCGGGTTTTATAAAGAGTTGGCAGAATCTCCGATTCGGGTAGGTTACACATTTTAGCTAATTTTCATATTAATTAGCCACTTACATACAAAATAAGTCTTCCACATGTAAAACTCCGATTAATATTGGACCATTTTTTATTTTGTTCAACACAAAGAATAAGCATACCCATTTCTTTCACCTTTCACAATTCGCTAATTTAACAGTGAGCCGCGAATTTTAAACGGTTTTCTAACCAGAACCTCGGGGTTTTAAAGTCCTGGCTGTTTTCGAATTTTAACGCTAATACAAACATACGATAATATCTTTCTTTACAATGATTTGTTTTGATTTATTGAAAATTTATCTGAATATTTTTTTAAATTTAAAATTCCCTAAAGTTTGCTATCTTTATAGATATCATAAACTTGGTCAAAATTCTGAAAATGAAATTTTCTATCAGCCGAATTTTTATCAATTCGGTGAAGGTCCTCTAATTTTTTAAATCGGGGTTAAATTCGAAAATATCAAAAATCTGAAGATTAGGCTGAAAAAAATCGTACATATGTGATTCAGGTCTCACGCCGAAATTAGTACAATAAAAAACTAAGAATACTCATGCTCATTTTTCATATTAAATATGAACAAGGTGACATTCGTCCCATACAAATCTGGGTTTTAGATTTGAAAGATCGTCATTGTTCAATATTTATTTACAAGAAAATGTGTCCTACTTCAGTATTTGGATGGCGTGTATGGAACTGATGACACCGGTTTTAAAGAATTCATCGCCCCCGGCATACTTTTATGGTTAATTACATATACATACAAATTGTTGATAAGATATTCTTCTGAATTTTAATTATAACAAAATATTTCAGTGTGATCTTCTTCTTTCCGCTGTGCTCGAGTGAAACTGCTTACATTTGGGATAAGAAGCAGGGAACGTAAGATTCAAGCAATTTGGAGCAAAATTGTGTCAAATTTCGTGCTCATAAGGTTTCTTATTTAAATTTATGTAGTTTGGAGAGAAGTATGGTTGCAGGAGTGTAAGAGCATTAACTTTAAATTAGGTTAACCCCTTCATTTAAAAAAATACCGAGTTTGCAAGCTCAGATCTGAGTATCATTTTGAGAAATTTTGCGAACTGTAATGCACATGTTAGCAAAATGAACTGCTTTTTGCATAGTTCTTTAACAATGATGTGTAAACTCATGAGGGGACGTTCAAAAAATATGTCACACAAAATGGAGATTTTCAGACCCTTCAACCCTCGTTTAACGTTCGGCTGTAATGCTAAACTCTGATCTTCCGCCGTGACGAAATTACTGTCCATCCCTTAATGAATACCCTCAATATTTCCATTTTTAATTTTACAGGCAAAGCTGGGAAATCATGACTTCGTTTCTTGCCACGGAAGGAATCGTGGTCGTGATTCAGTGTTTCGTCTCATTCTTCATGATCATTTACATTTTCGAGATCGAGATTTTGGAGTCCTTCGCGTTATCCGTGATGATCACAATAATGATGGGGCTCGCCGGAGTTAGCATGGGTTGGTGCACACACTCTAAATAAATTTGAGCAAAATTTACTCCAGGCTCCAGGATTTAAATTTACATAATTTGAGATTGCACAGCTTCACTCTTTGATAAGCAAGGCCGTGTAGTAATATATCGGTAGTAAAGTTTTACAAGATCGGTAGTAAAGTTTTGCAATATCGGTAGCAAATTTTTACGTACCTGGTTTTTACGTACCTTTAATACCAAGCAGTAACAACTTTAATAATGCAAAATCAATACCAGCGCGACGGTAGCAGATTTCTAACAGTGCGAATTTCTAAACTTTAGCATATGTATTTCGGGGTAAAAGTTATTAAAAGTTGGGCTAAGATTTTAGAAGGTTGAGTACGTTTCACGTAACGAGTTGTGCTTCTCAAATTCTATTCCACTTTATTTAGTGTGTATTAAAATAATTATCCAGAAAAGTTTAAAACGTTAGTACCTTGATGTACGTATTTACATAAATTATTACTTGCAGGATTTTTGCTCGCTTCATTCTGCGATGAGGAGATTGAGGCCGTTATGCTCTCGATAGCAACATTTTTTCCAAACATGATTCTCTCCGGTTGGAATTATTTCAAATTTCAATTACACAATCTCTCTAGTTTTAAATTAAGATTAATTTTAAAATAAGACACAATTAAATTTCCAGGAATACTCTGGCCGATTGAAGGAATGCCACTTGCCATGCAATATATTACATACTTCCTCCCGAGCAGATTGGCTTCTGTACGTTGATATACTACATAATTATTTAATAGAAAATAATATGAAAACAACATTGGGGGTATTCACTACAAGTTCGAAATAGTAGTAGCGCTAAAAACAAAGTTGTGCAAGTTCGCAAAAAAATTGGCTTGACAACTCTATGGCCCGAATTTATTCCGCAATTTGTGTTTTCTAAATTTTCCATGTTGCGGTATTAAGGATCCGAAATCGTAATGAATACCCCAATTATTTTGGAATTATATTCAGCAAATGTTACTTTGTAGGAATCCATCCGTTCAATCGTAACGAGAGGATGGGAATTTAGTCATATCGGGGTGTGGCCAGGATTCTTAGCAACGGCAGGATGGATCACATTCTACTGGGTACTGACCTTGTTAATTCATAAGTTTAGATTTTCCCAGAGATAAATAATTACTACGAGGCAGTTAGTGATATCCATTCCAATTACTCGTAATATGAAATTGGTACATACATACAAACATACATATCAAAGTCACAATTTTTATTAAATTTGTTAATAAATTTTAAATCTTGACAATATTCGTACAAAATGTATGTAATCTTCACGGTGAATTTTCTGATTAATTTTCCTAACCATTTTTTTGTACATTATTTCGAATTAAGGTATACATATGCAAATCATGACCATCGCATCAAGTTATTTTATGTCTGAATATTTAAACTTATCGTCAATTGATATTCTTCAATTCGGAATATTCCATCAATACGGTCCAGCTTCTAAAGTGGCAACCAAGGCGCAATCAGCCCCCTCCAGAACTTGCAAGCATTGATTCAACGCACAGGTGGTCCACATTCTGCGTCAACCATGCAGCCGCCGGCGACCGATGGACGATCCGGGTAATATCCAGCATCCGGTTCGTCAGATTGTCCGAAAAGCCACCAGAACCATCTGGCCCGCTAGAAGTATGAAATTTATTATTTTATTAATTTATTAAGATAATAAATATTACATGTTCATAATTGTTTCCGTATCCTTAGTGTGTAAAATAAAAATACGGGGTCAAGTTTCATAAAAATCGTGACTTTAGTAACGCGATTTTTTTATGACAAAGCCTTACAACGTTTACACAAAGTCTTGTAACTGTTGTAACTTAAATATTTTAGGATACGAAGAATAATTAGAATGCAAAGGGATATTGAATACGATCAATATTTTTATTTCTACAAATTTTTGAAAACTTACCTCAAGATTCACGTCGTCTTTATAAGACGGCATGGATGCTACCTGCGATGAGATGATTGATTGAACAATGAAGAATAATACGATCTTGGAAACCATTTTTTTCTAGAAAAAAATCAGAACGGTTTTAGAAAGTTTAAATAAAGTCTTCCTTTTTAAAAAAAATACGAATTTAAGCAGATTTGATTGTAATTTATGCTTGACAGTCGTTTAATGGTGCCATTTATAAGAAAAAACTTTACCCCTAAATGCGTCAATCTCATTAAGAAATTATGAGACAAACAGGAAGTATTTAAGTGCTTTACTAAATTATTTGTGGAATTTCCAAAGAGTATTTAATGAACCGGATATTTCATAATTACTGCGGAAGTCGATGGATTCGAACTAAACATACAGAGTAAAGTATTTAGCTATGAATCAAGATATAAAATCATGTTCTGCATTTATTTACATCTAAATGGAAATTTATCAGTGCTCGTATATTTAAATGCATACGAGATATCTCACAAGTGGAAAAACAATTAAAAAATTGAAAGTCTAGAATTGTGACGATGTTTTACCGTTGCACCTCATGAGTAATTATTATCCCAGACGCATCACCTGAAAACATGTAGATCCTTCCCTTTCCTTCGACCGACTTAGGTAAGTACACATTTGCATACATATTTACACTCTTCGAAATAAAGTTGCCTTGGTGAAGAGCTAATGCATTATGAATTCTAAGTTAAGGAAACTATTCTAAATCCAAAGTCAACTTTACACATACTCTTTGTATAATTAATCTTCCTCTTAATTTAACATATGTAAGGGGTGAGTCATAAGTAGTGATCCACTTATTCCTGCTGTCCGCGCGTCAAGGAGAGTGAGATGGTTCATTAACTTGTAGCGTCCTGATATTAAGCAACCGACATGCCACCCAAAACATGTTATCAGAGGTTGATCGAATCTTAGGGAGGAAAGTAACAGAAATAAAAACAAAAAGTTAAAATACGAGTGGTGCAAAATTAAAAAACGCATAAACTTTTGTAGGTAAATCATTTCCCACGAAAGCAGAGGTACATAAAATTAAAAATTATTTGATTTACTTAGGATTAGGTTACTTCTTCTAAATGGCAGAAACGAGGCAAACTTTATGAAAACTTATATACCTATTTAATTTACCACGTAAGAAACAAACTACCACAAATCCAGCGGGAATTTACCACCAAATAAATACCAGTACGGAGTATATACACTCTAAGGAATCCGGTGATAAGCGTGACTCGATCGGTTCTGCTGACCGGGGTTGTTGCCGTGGTGATATGCTTCCGTGTGGTGTTTGAGTACCACCGAGCTGGTAATGGGTTATTTCCATGAGGTGTCGCATCATCACCATTCCGGAAGCTACACATAAAGTTACCGGTCGGTGATAAAATTTCGTAGAGTGTAAATATGTAATTTACTCTACCAGGTTTTCAACAGTGCAATTGAAAACGAATTGACAAATGAATACAATGACTGACTTGAATGAATTTCGTTTGACTGAATGAGAAATTATGGCAAACATGTACGGAATAATTCTTGTCTCCGGTTATGCACCTATGTAAATATGTAAATATATACATCGGATATTTTGCGTACTTCGTACTCCGTACTCCGTACTCCGTATTACAGAGTACGGAGTACGCAAAAATCGGATGTATGCATACGTAAAATTCACATTAAAGCTGCAGAAGAAGATATTTTTGAAATTTTACAAGTTCCGAACTGCAAACAAAAGTATATAACAACTGTAAATACTTTGTCCACGCTCAGCAAGTTTTTTCTTGAACCATGTTTTGTTTGCTTTAGGTTTACCTAACCTAACCTTTATCATGTTAATTTTTCTTATATTTATTTAACATTAAAATTTGATTTGATTTGCGAACTCTTAAACTACATAAACTAAACGCATGGAAAACTTTACTGTTTACCAAGTTAACGTTACTCTGGATTTAGTAGATATACATATTTAGTTTACTTTATATAGAATTGAAAGTGCATTTGCTTTTCAAAAGGGTAACATCAGTTTTAAGAGTGTAACCTTGAGTTTGCGCTAGATAAGTACCATCGTCTCTATTTAGATACATGTGCCTGCAAAATTTTACATATTGTGTATATACACATTAGCAGTGAAGTGGTTTGGGACGAGGGTTTCAAAAATCGACATGGTTTTGACCATGACCACGTTGCTTAATCGCTTAGTTACATTTTGTCTGCAACCCTTTATTGTATATAAATTTTACTATATGAACAAAAATATTTCTGCAATACAGGTAAGTATGTACATACTTACATATGCACCAATAAAATGTAGCATATAATTTCCGCGAATATTTGAAAATGCATAGTATCCCATATATTTCTTTCACTAATGTTTTTCTAACATCTTCTTAATTCCCACCGTTGGGCGATGTCCGATGGCTGCAAAGGGGCTAGTTCCAGCTTTATTCCTCCGTTACCAGAAGCAATACTACAAGTTTAAATTGGAAGTTTAAAATTTTATGAAACAAAACAAAAACAAATACGAAACGTTCATATCTAGGGCGTCCAAAATCGGAAAATTTTGAACAACCGGTTTTTCGATTATTCCGATTTTGGAAATGTTCGTAAAACCGGTTTTCGATTAATCCGGTTTTGGAAAATATTGCGAAACCGGTTTCCGATTCTGTACAAAACCGGTTGTAAACTGGTTGTAAAAATCGGTTTAAGTGCAAATTTTAAAAATTTGCAAATATAGTAGCCAAAAATTGAATGAAAAATTAAAATTAAATCCAAACTTGGCAATAGCGATCACAAAACACTTAATTCTTATGTCAACAATAAGAAACATTAAGTTTTAGCTAAAAAGAAACTTGTTTTATTAAAAATCGAAAACCGGTTTTCGATAGTCTAAAAACCGGGTTTTTAGAAAACCGATTTTTTGGAAAATTCGAAAACCGGTTTTCGGGTAAATCGAAAACCGGTTTTTAACCGGTTTTACAAAATCGGAAAAACTGATTTTGGATGCACTATTCATATCTTGCGCTATTAAAAACTGAGTGGGTGTTTTCTGGTAGCATATCTTACTCGTACTTAACACGGGCAGGAAGAGGTGCATTGGTGGTCAATAAATCGGGGTTTTTAGGGACGTAATATTTGGACGTTCCAAAAGCAACTGTACCCAGTGTTACGAAGGCTGCTTCGTCCAGTGGAATTGAAATGCCAGCTGTGTATATTCCAATGATTAGTACCGCTTACTGGAGCCACGAACCAGTAGCTATTGGGCCACACGCCGCCATAAATAAACGGCTCTCGTCCGGCCGTATTCATTGTATGCTGCCACGCATTTGATCCACCCAATGCGGAGCGAATTATATAGGCTGAAATCGAGCCTGTGGTTGGGAAGCAAAATTTAGTAAAAAGATGTGTTAATCAAAACAATACATACTACTGCCATAAATTCTGTCTCACGCATTCCGCGCGCCAAAAACATCAGTAGCAGTTATGTTAGCAAGTTGTACTATTTTTTATTGAATTCCCCATGCAATTGTCTGTCAGAAACCATGTTCCGAATTTTTTTGTGATACAAGGTGCTAAAATGACAGGTCGGACAAATCGACGTGTTGCAATTTTTCAGAAACATTTTGGTAAACATAAAAATCCGGCATTTTTCAATAGCTCATTAAAAATCGAAACTAAACGCAAGATGGTCGACCGTAACATAAAATGATCCACTAACATTGGCGGTGTCTATAACCGAAAACCGAGTTGAAGGGAACGGTCAAAAAAGTCACAAAAAATCACGAAGGCGCGTAAAACCTGAATTCGGCCGAATTCATGCCGGACCCTAAGAAAAATTTCCCTACAAATGAACGGGCTAAGTAAAACTATGTCCCAGGCCCCTAAACTCGACCCTGGACTTATGTCTTTAAGATGTGAAAAGAAATACTTGCTAACCTCACGCCAAGTAAAAATAGAACCTTCAAAACCCGGGCACTGATCATGCGGTACGCGTTTGAAGATGGAAATAAGTATTTTTGAAAGATAAGTAAACTATCACAATTGAGGCCATATAAAATAAGCACAAGCACTGTGTCCACACCCCACCAGTCCATATTATTCAAGAAAATTTTAAAAATATTAATTGGACCCATCATCCAGATTCTGTGATTTTTTTTATTCGGCGTAGATTGGATTTGGTCAAAAAAATGAATTTTATTCCTCGGGGGGTGAAAATCTTGTCAAAATGTATTTTTTGAAGTAATCGAGCTAATGGAAGAACCACTGGACCACACCCTATTAAAAAATAGCACTGGACATTCAAGCAGGGCTCAGGT